TAAACATAGACAAAACTGTATTTCCAGTGAACTACATCCTATGCAGTGTTAAGTTAACCCCAAGATAGAACTTTATGTCCTGTAAAATACAACCAATGCACATTAAACATAGACAAAACTGTATTTCCAGTGAACTACATCCCATGCAGTGTTAAGTTAACCCCAAGACAGAACTTTATGTCCTGTAAAATACAACCAATGCACATTAAACACAAACAAAACTGTATTTCCAGTGAACTACATCCTATGCAGTGTTAAGTTAACCCCAAGACTGAACTTTATGTCATGTAAAATACAACCAATGCACATTAAACACAAACAAAACTGTATTTTCAGTGAACTACATCCTATGCAGTGTTATGTTAACCCGAAGACAGAACTTTATGTCTCTAGAGAAATCAAACTTTAAGCCAACAAATATACAGAAATATATTTTCAGTGAGATCCAACCAATGGAGCAATAACAGCTACTGAAACAGAATCTGATGTTCAGTGAAATTCAGCTTATGCAAAGTTAAGCTAATCCAGAGACAGAACCTTATGTCCAATTACATCTAACTGATGCACTAACAAACTGACATTTACAACGAGATAAACTTATGCGGCATTAAGCTGAGTCTTCATGATGTCAGAAAAACACGTATATTCAAGAAGTCCTAATATAAAATGATAAACACCCTATAACTTTTGCACTGGTAAAAAGTGACAAGAGAGGATGATGATGTAGATAGATTTAACTAAATGGGTAAAGATAAATAGAAATAACTGATATTAAATGGCAGGAAGACAACACAGACAGAAGTAAACAAAAATAAAACACTAACTGATACAAAAAACAAAGATGTAATTAGATATAAAAGGCTAAAAAAGATGAACAAACATGCAATATAAATGAGTAGGTAAATGGAGCTTGATATATGAATACTTTTAAAGTATACACATATATATTTATGCACTATTTATACAATAACTTACAGGGAAGTTAAAAAAACCGACATTTTAGTTTTCAAAATTTTGGAGTTGAACAAGAATTAGAAAACAATTACAAAAACATCATGTACAAGATGAAAACAATAAATTATTGATTTTTTAGAAGTTTATAGTATTGGCTAAAAAAGTATTCATACAAATCAACTATTATAACCATTATCAATCTGGTAAGTTGAATTGAATTAGTATTTCATTAATTATTTAAAGCAAGAATTTTAAAATTCACTGATGATGTATAAATCAATGAACAGATTAAAATGTGTATAAATTGAATTGTTACCACAAACTGTTCACTAAAAATCTGAGAATTTGTTGTTTACACAAAGTGAACTATAACCATATCAAACACATGGAAGATTTTATTCACTGACAAAATTTATCTTTACATCTTTGAAGGCTTTTAAATAACATGGTCAGAAATGTGGTAAAACTTTGACTAGCCCAGTTTTCAATTAAAAAAAAAAACACACTTTGCTCAATACACTCTTCTTTTGTGCTTGTGTTTAAAAATAAACTTTCACAATTGATCAACAAGTCTTTTACACCAAAGGAAGAAAGTTGGAGTGAATTAAAGACCACAAAATTCAAATTATTTAAGCTCACTGTGAGACATAGTATTCCTTTTTCAACAAAATGGTGAGCATTGGTGAAACTCTGTTGATTTTACAAATCTTTTATTTGATGTTCAAAGGTTTTCAAAGCAGAACCCTCAAGTTTCATTTTCACAACTTTAAAGATTTGTGTATCAGCCTTTGCTTCACGCTGGATTGCAGTTCCAATTAGTTTGTAGAATTAAGTGTTTTATGAATTGCATTCTTTATCACGATCGATGGGCTACTTCCCAATGATGAGATAATAGTTGAAAGCTGTTCATTAACTGATAATCTAGTTGTACTTTTTAGAAAGGCAGTAGTAGTTGTAGTGTCTACAGGAGCCATACTGTGACTTGCTATAAAAAAATAAATCTGCCAAAATGAAAAAAATATGAGCTTTATGGCTTAACAGGGAATGTACACAATTATTCACTTCAAGATTTATTGACTGGGTGATTTTTTTATTATTAAATATAAGATATACCACTGTAATATAAATTAAGAAAACTGTACCTAACATTATATCCAAAAATTACACATATAGTTAATTTCTAAAATTAATGTTCCATTAATTACAAAAATTTTAAATTAGCAAACTGTATCAAAATCATCTTTAATTGACAAACAAAATAAGATTATTAAAATAATCACAAATATGAAAATATATATGTATATTTTTATCACAACAGAATATAGTATTGTTTTTGCTCCTAAGAAGTTTTAATGGTTTTCTTCATGTTCCATCACTCTTAACATGAAATTAAATCTTACAGTCTTTCCCCAATATGAATCATTGATCAAATCTTTCACACCCTGTTTACATTTAAATTTGTACATAGCATTGTTCAAGGCAAAAAACAACCAACAACTATCTCCTTTAAAAAAAATAAACTTAAAATTTGAATCTAATCACATCACAGGATCAAATTCTGGTTAATGATTGACCTCTCCCAGCTTTGAATTATACTGACCCTGCTTAGGTGAAATTCATTACTATTTTAATGTGTTATTTACAGGTAACCAAACTGATGGTCTACAGACTTAGGTGAAGTTCATTACTATTTTAATGTGCTATTTTTTTTATTTCAGTTGGAAAGCAATTTCCTGAGGGATAGTATAACATGCATGTTGATATTTGGTTCACTGTATATATTTGTAGTTGCTCATCAATTAACATTTCCTACAATCTAAACTCCTGAATCAACGGTGACATTAAACAGCACCTAGTGAAGGAAAAGCTGCTGCCTCATCTGAGGAATATTCATTATTTCAGTGATAGTTGTACCACTGGTGAATATAAAAGCCTATACAATTCCATCATTCTATGCCACCACAAACTATTCAACCTGAACTGTGAAATAAATAGGACAACTTCAAAAGTGATGATATTTGTGAAACAGCTGGGAACATTTGCACAAACTTTATGCACCCAGACAGAAAAACAGCAACAGTGTGCTACTGGCTAAAGAAGAATAATATAATGTACACTGAGAACTTGCTATAAAGTGTTCAATATCTAAGCCTCACAACAACAAGCTACAAATTTAAGGATATACATCTCAAAATGACTGAGTGAGTATTGAACCAGAGAAAGTGGCATTTCCTGGTGTAGTTGTCACCTAGGAGAACAATAGATCCTGTTTCTGTATCATTTCTGTAAGAAAAAATAGTGTTAATTGACAGTTGGATCTTTCTAAAACAAAACACCAAGTATATAAAATTGTACCACCTCTGATATTTAACAAACTCAATCCAAGTATTTTTAAAGGAAAATAAAAAAGTAATAATACTTTTTTAGCTTGATTAGCTCTTGGGTCAAAAAAATATACAGGGGTGAAAATTTATCTTACTGGGTTTTATCAACTCTTACTTAAACTATTTATGCTAGAGTCTTGTGTTCGATATCACTTTATTAGAAAATGAATGAGCTTGGATTCAAGAGTGCTATATTACCTCTTTATGTTAATCACATGGGCCTTTAACTAGCTGGAACAAGCATTTAAATCAGATAACATAATCAAACCACATCACGGCTTAAAATAAAACCATGCTGTAAGTTGTAACTGGTTATTTATCAAGTGGTTATATACATCACACATGATACACCACGTGTGATGTATGTGGTATATAAATAATGTAATACTAAGAGCAACAGCAACAAATGCAGACAGAGGATATGAAATTTAAATTAAGCTCTTGATGTTTTTAAAATGTACACAATGTACATACACAGGTTTCTAGGGCACAATATACAGTTAAAAAGTAAAAAATACAATTATTATAGAGTTACTAGAATATTGTTTCAGCAAAATTTACAAATTAACTGAAAATTCCCATACATTAAAAATTCCTGAAACTTTCCCTGGAAAGTTTCTACACCTTTGCAACCCTAGTTTAAATACAGTATTTTGTATTTTCTGCAAGCTTTTTATGTGGTTATGGCTTAAAATAAAACCATGTTGTAAGTTGTAACTGGTTATTTATCAAGTGGTTATATCAACATTTTATGTTGTTATGGCTTAAAATAAAATCCATGTTGTAAGTTGTAACTGGTTATTTATCAAGTGGTTATATCAACAATAACAACATTAAATGTTGATACAACCACAAAATTCTTCCCTGGGTTCTGTGTATTCACTAGTTATACATGAAGTAAACCATGCATCCTGGAAATCCCTTCATTTCTGTTGAAACAGCATCGACAGAAAAATATAAAATGTACATACTTTTATTTGTGCTTTTAAATAAAACTGAGTGAAGAGTTATATCTTGTGAAATAAAGAAAATATACAATCCTCTACATATGCATGGCTCTAGTGTGTTTGGCTGTATTTTATTAGGGTGCATGAGGAAAAAGCAATCTTTTGTTTAAACATTTGGTAATTCAGACTTTTATTAAAAGTTCCCTGTACATACATTCACCAGGTTAAAAGAAGAGTGTCAATAATTTTCAAATTTGATTTTTTTCTTCACTTTCTAGCCTATCAAAATAGGAGCAGCAAATAAATTTGTAATTAAGTTTTTTTTTCTAATTTCCAAAACATATGAGTGGCGAATCCTTAGACCAGAAAATTAATCTACCATAGCCCTATATATATCAGTTGAGGACTTAAGGTATACATGGATTCCATACATAATAGGGTCTATATTTGCTTGTACTTAAAGGATACCAAGAGAATGTCTAATAATATCTGCTTTAATCTGGAACATCGGCATTGAAATAATTTTCTGAATTTCAGAATGACACATATACAATCTGATGTTTGGAGACACTTCAGTGCAGTGAAACAAGATGGCAAGGAAGTTTACTTATGTAATTACTGCTCACTGCAACATGTCAAAAATGCAACCAAGATGCAAGCTCATTTGCTAAAAAGGCACCACAGAATCAACACTGTGTAATAAAGCAGCAACAGTTACTCCTGGCACCAACTGAAAAAGTACAAAAACCTGTTTCACAGTCATCTGGTTTTTCTGCTACCACAAGTGATTCAGGTCAACCAGTTTCATACACTTCATCAGCCACAAAGCAACTATCATATTTTGACAGCATAGATGCTGCACACAATGCAAACTTGATGAAAGCCTAGCACATGCCAACTATATCTCTGGTTCATCCCCGATATTAACAACAAATCATTACTGGCAAGCATTCTTCAAAAACATCAGACCTGCATACAACACCTCCCACCAGACATGCACTGAGCACGCATTTTTTGGAAGCAGAGTATGCATGTGTTCAGGAAAAGTTAGTGAAACTATCAAGAATGTTGACTGTGTTGCCGTTATAAAGTACTGGTGTATATATATAGTTTTTTTTGCTGGAAGATACAAATGTTTTAGTCATTTTTCTACTAATTTTATATTTAAGTATCCAATGTAAATGATAATATTCATTTATGTTTTTACATTCTTTGTACTTCAGGGTAATTATGGTTAATGATATTTGTATAGTTTTCGTGTTATGACTACATTTATGTTTTTACATTCTTTGTACTTCAGGGTAATTATGGTTAATGATATTTGTATAGTTTTCGTGTTATGACTACATTTATGTTATTACATTCTTTGTACTTCAGGGTAATTATGGTTAATGATATTTGTATAATTTTTGTGTTATGACTAAAGCATCAACACAACCATATGTTTTTCAATATTGTATTTCTTCTACTGCTTAAATATCGTATTAAATAAGAAAAAAGCTGATTTATTTCAAAAATATATTTTACAAAATAATATGTCAATTTCAGCCTCAGGTAAGATTTGTAAATCATTCTTATTAACCACTAGTAAACAGTTAATTTATGAATGTTCCCAAAATTCATGAAAATTCCCAGGAGTTTTGCAACCCTAATTTAAACACATTGTCACTGGAATGTAATACAACAAAGGGTTCCCTTCACTGAAAAGTTATTACATACGTTTACTGTAATGTCAACATCATTTTAGGTTCAGAGTTTACACTATATAAAAGCTCTCAAACTAAAACAAATAAAAATTATTTCAACCCCCTAGATCACTCAAAATAATTTTTTATTCAGTAAAAAAATTAAATGGCAAACCCCTAAGAACCAGGTCTATTTAATCCTCATTTGTGTTCTGTCTTACACATTTCAATGTTTAAATGGTACATTCAAGGTTACCTAACATTACAATGAACTATAATGTAGTGTAGTAACAAGTAGAGCTACACATAACTTTTCTAAAAGTTTTGTTAACACATTATGTTTAATAGGTGTTTAACGTGCATCAAGTAAGATCTACCCAGTCACAATATAAATACATTCTGTGTTTATAAAACAAACTTAAAATTTTTAGTCTCAGATGACAAGCAAAGTTGTCAAATTTCATTTAAAAAAGGAAATATTCTAAACCAATTTGACTGATATTTGCAAATCTACTAACACACATTATGATAATACTTGTAGAATAAACTATCAAGTTTGATAAGTACAGTTTTGGAAAAAGTAAAGAAAAATTCTAAACAACTTTGACTGATATTTTAAATTGTATTAATTCACATTATAAAAAAATATCTATAGAATAAAATACCAAGAACACAAATGTAATACAAGTGTGGGGTTAAAAAGTTTATTCTGAACCTTTCGTATTAGTTTCGAAACTAGAGCTTTTTTGTTTACTGATACCATTCTTGTTCTCACCTTCCATGTGACTTATTGTACTTTCATCATGAGCACGTGTATAAGTTCTCATGTAGATGCAGTCATGATAGAAAGCACATTTCTTCCTATTGTTGGGAGGTGGGCAGGTATGTATTTCAGAGGTAAATACATTATTGAAAATTATTTTAATTTAAAAAATGTGAAAATCAAAACATTGAGATGGAGGGTAGAACAGGATAGAATCATAAG